GAGGAGGAGGAGACGGCCAGAGAGCAGCTGTGATCACCTCTGCACCCTGGTCTCCAGAGCACAGACGCTTCATTAAAATGAGAATCAGAGAGAATGTATTGATCCCCCGGAGGAAACGGTTGGCATTACATCTCACTTCCATCAGTGTAGCATATTGAAGAGCATGAAAATATATATATTTTTTTTTAAATACCAAAAACTTAAAAAGCTTCGATAAAGATAAGATGTAATCACAAATACAAGTACGTACAGCGCCCAATGCGAATGTAAAGTTAGCAGATTTCACGTACTTGCAGTAGAATTATATATTTCACAATTATATTCCAGAAAAAAAAAAAATATATATATATATATTTCTCCAAAGAACATTTTAAATACCAACTTCACGACCAGCTGCGGCCAACCTGCAACAGCACCATGTCCCACAAGGGGGGCCTGCCCCCCACTTTGAGAACCACAAGAAGGTGAACGATTCAAAAATACAGTTCGGATTTTTTTTTTCCCCAACAAGTTGTGTTTGTGTGTGATTCTTGTATAGCTATAATTTTTTTTTGTAAATGACTATTGTCTTTTGTGAGGACATTTTAAAGTCCACTGACAAGAGAGCACTCGAAAGAATTCAAAGTTAGGATTAGTGTCAGGTTACAGTTAAGACAAGAAGGAAATGAGAAAATCTAAATCTAAATCTAAGATAAAAAAAAAACAAAACACCCAAACACTGCTTGTAAAAATCTAAGATAAAAAAAACAAAACACCCAAACACTGCTGAGAGTGAGTGCAGATTATGAAGTCGTGTTCATGTTAGTGTGAACACTTGTTTGTTTCCGTGTGTTGGTCCCTGGAGGTCCAGGTGACGGTCGTCAGCTGGGACCGACTCTCCGTTTCCTACACGGCCTTTAATAATACCACGATAACAAAACAATAATAAAATAAAAGCATTAGGAGGACGACTGACGCCAACATCACGTCGTTACGACATATCTGAGCCAGAAGTTTGACTCACTGTGATAACGTTTTTTTCTTTCTCTCACATTAACAAATGTCTTTCACAGAGATTCTTTTTGTAGAAAAGGCCAGAGGAGCTGAAGGCTTTTAATTTGAAAAGAAAAATGTTGTTCTTCAGTAGCTGGTTTACTGGCAGAAACTGAAGAAGATTTCAACAGCCGCTGGGAGTGGAGCTAAATGGAAATCCCATTCAGCTGAGGAAAATCCACAGGAAAACGACAGGAATCAAGTTTCAGCTGCAGCAGCAGCAGCAGAACGATAACCAAGACGAGGATTCTGAGAAGTCAGGCCTGTGCACTGATAACACTGGTTTCCATGAGGAACGAGTGCAGTGTTGGTGCGTTAGATGGTGGGATCTGACAGCTGACTTCCTGTTTGGCACAACAAGTACAGGTCTGGTGTATAAATTCTTCGTAATGGAGATTATCCTGGGATAATCCTGGGACCACCAACGTCAAGCGGGTAACCAGGGTACTGAGCCGCCATCAGCCTTCACTGCCGTTTTTTAATCCTCCATGGAGACATCAGTGAAGTTACTCAGAGTATTTACTTGTAATGACCTAAAGTATTCAAAGGTTATACATCTTCATTATATTATACTTCCTTAAAAGTCACAGTCCAAGTGTCAAGGACCACAGTTGGGCCAACAAGGTGGTAGCGGTTAGCACTCGTGCCTTACACAGAGACGATCCAAAGAAGTTTTTATGTTTAAATTCCTCGTTCCATTTAACATCACACAGGAAATACAATTTTGTACCGAAGTAAATATGTTCGTTTCTAACCATGTAATAAAAAAAAACGAAGTTTCTGCAGGTGAATTCATCTGTGCTCTGAAGACAAACTGAAACCTTTGTGGTTCACCTTTATATATGTATATGTTATACATGTATATATTGTACATATATATATTTTGTATGTGTTCCCGTGGTCCACAGTGTTACGTCACATGGAAACACAGGTTTATCTGAGCTTCTGTTTTCCATCATGTGAAGCTCTGTCCCAGTCGACACCCGTCAGGACAAAGGTAGGAAGACGACCTTTGACTCAGTGATGACACAGCACAGGCAGGGACACGTAGGCAAAAAAGGTAAAGAAATGAAAAAAAAAAAAAAAAGGGGGGGGGGGGGGGGGGGGGGGTTAATGAATACAAAAAGAAAAATCAGTCAGGTCAAAGCTTTTAAATCCTTAAAGGAGAGCGGAGCGTGAAGTTTGCTTTTCTAGGACGACTTAAGAACCAAGTCAGGTTAGAAACCATTCTAGCCACAAAAATATAAAAAAAAAAACTGAAGCCAAAAAAAAAAACACTATTGTAGATCAACTACAAACTAATTTACAGCTCAGAAAAAAAAATCAATAATAGGAATAAAAACAATTAATAATTAACTAGTCTTTTATTCAAGGAATAAATGTAAATGTGTTGTTTTAGGTCATTTAAAAAATATATTATTGCCAAGACCCCACCCCCCTTCCATCTCAATGTTTGTAATTTTCTTTCAGAAATGTCCATTTTTTAATCAATGACATCATCATTCTGCCAGTACCTGAAAAATATAAAATTCCCCAATGTAGCACAAGAGGGCGCTCAGGTACCACCACTGATTTGCATGCCATAGGTTGAGAACCACCGCCCTAAACTATCAGAGAACGTACATTCTTTTTCTTCAACGTGTTAATACTTTGTCCAACGCTGTAAAATCTTCAGAATTTATTAAAAAAAAAAACAAAAAAACCCAACATCACATACCAGCTCTGCAGCTCACCAAACGTCTTCTTCATCCTCTTGACTGAAGAGTCCATCTCCTCCTTGACGACCATCCTGTAGCGAGTCAGAGAGGCCGTGCATCTCTGCAGGTCCTTCACCGAGCGGTCGACGTTGGAACCTGAGGGACAGACAATTAAAAATTTTTTTTTTTTAAAAATCAACAATCTTTTTTTCATCCTGAGGCTGAATTTTTTCTCGTATCACGGTGTTAACACCAGACACACCGCTGAATTTTTTCCTGGTATCACGGTGTTAACACCAGACACACCAGGAGAACAGAGTTCCATGTCCTACATTTGGTTCTGTGGAGTTTGGAGCCGTTCGGGAAGTAGCTAAGACTACACTCCATGTCCTACATTTCTGTGGAGTTTGGAGCCGTTCGGGAAACTTTTCATGGCGTTTAAATGCAGGACGTTCTGCGATCAGACGTGTTCTCGAAGAACAGCTAAAAATATACACGCCGCTTTAAAAAGAGCCAGGAAAAAAAAAACAAACAGTCGGAGGAGAAGTCACAGTGACTCATTTATGTCAGTGAAAATGTGTTGTTTTGAAAAAAATATGGACCAAGATGTCGGTCCAGAACTCTAACTCTTAGGGTCGATGTTAGACACGACCCTGCAGCGCTGCTGAATGTTGTGTTGTAAAATACAATAATATACTGAGGAACTCACGTTCAGAAAATCAGTGCTCCTTTATTAGGAAACATATGACTTTTCTCTTCTACTGCTGTTGTATTTATTGCTGTTTCTTTAAACCACCTGAAGAGACAAAAACTTTGAACTAACTAACGGCCGCCGTTCTCTTACTCATTTTCTTGGCTCCTGCAGACCCCGGCTCATCGGCGCCGGTCACTAACGAGGAGGTGGGGGCGTGAGAGTTTGAGCCCGGCTTGCGACGCGTCTTGTTGCCTCTCGGCCCCTGGTGATTCCTCACTTCCTGCGGAGGAGCGGGACTTGGAGCTCTGACTTGGTTTTCTGCCTCGGCACCTGTGGGAAAATGGAAAAGGTTTGAACGAAATAAACACGTGCTGTGACTGTACCAGTCTGACTGTAACAGTCTGACTGTAACAGTCTGACTGTACCACTGTGACTGTAACAGTCTGACTGTACCCGTCTGACTGTACCACTGTGACTATAACAGTCTGACTGTACCGAGGATACGACTGTACCGAGGCCTCCGACTGTGCCTGTTGTCTTTTCCGGCTGTTCTTACCGGCTGTTTCAGACGTGGTGGGCTCAGAGTCGAGCTCCGCTGCATCCAAGGAGGCCGAGTCCAACTGTTCGCTCAGGGAGTCCAGGGACTCTCCATCCGCCACGGACCCGTTGGCATGAAAGCCGTTCATCTGGTCCTTCCCGTCCTCCGTGGACGTGGCTTCAGGTGGAGGCGGCTCTGCGGAGGCCTCCACTTGAGGCTTGGGCTTCTTTTTCTTCTTGGGCTAAACGTGAAAATATCTGTGTCAACAACTTTTGTTCAAGGTTTTCTCTTTGTTCATTATCTTTTTGTCTAATCAGCGCTGAGACCTGAGCTGCTGAGGGTGAGATTAAAACAACAATCACAAAACAAAACAACAACTTTAGCTTTTCAAAAACTGACAACGACTTAACCAAACAGGGAAACTTTCAACATGCAGGTTTTTTTTTGTTTGTTTGTTTTTTGCCCCCACCTTCTTTTTGCCGGTGACATTCCACTCCTTCAGGATCTCAACTGCGCTACCTGAGGCAGAAACAACGACAATGACACAGGTGCACAGTGACACAGCACAGGTTTGAAAACATGCATCTCATAACTTTTATTGCCCTGGAGGCATCGTGTACACAGAAGAAAATGTGAGAGAAAGTCACATGACGTAGAGGAGCCACTTCCTTGTTCTATATTTACACCTGCACAACTTGAGGTATGTGTGAAACTTGCCTCTTAAATACAAAACTCAGAATGCGTGACACAGGCTCTCAGGGTGAAGCTCAAGCGTCTCATCGGCGACGAGCCGCAACAACAGGTCCAACTGCAGCTACTGTCGCTAATTGTCAACTAATTTCCTTGGAATTCTAAAGGGATCGTCTGGGACGTTCCTTTGATGATAAAGGCTAATGTTTTTTTCGTGTGGTCCAACTGTGATGTCAAGTACAATTTGTCTTTTGTTTTTAAGGGGGAATCTGATCAGGGTCACATTAACTAATCATTGACAACTGTGGGAGGACGGATCATCAGACGATGTTTAAAAAAAAAAAGAAAAAAAAAAAACCCAGATGAAGAGGACGGAATAGAAACTGTTCTGACTGTAGTCAGAGAGAAGCGATGACTCGTGTTTTGTTAAATATATTTCTCACGTCATGTGACCTTCAGGCCACCAACCATACCTTCTAAGAAGGCCTGAACAGCTTTGTCGACGCAGTTCTCAAAATGCTGCAGGACCAGCACAATCTCATTGTTGCTTTTGTTGGGGACGACGGCTCGGACCGCACTGATCTGAAGGGAAGAAGACAAGAGGACGAAACGTGAGACGTGGACTTGTCAAAACCACGAGGTAAAAAACAGTAAAGCTGCCGTGATATAATACACAGAGGTAAACAAGTCGTTTTCCACCACTTCACAGTCACAGACTTTACAGAGTTTTTGGCTGGAAAATATATATATAAATATATGTTTGGGTGCACTGCAGTGAAAAGAACGAAAAATATACAAATTAATATAAGCATACATTTATATGTACACATACATATATAGGTATATAAACATTTATATAAATATATAAATACATATATGAATAAATACACATGTATACATATAAAAATATACACATGTATAAATGAATATATATACACTTGCATATATATTGATATATATATATTGAAATATATATGTGACTATATGCACATACATATATACAAAGTAAGCAAAATAATACGTAAATAAGCTGCAGTGAGTTGTCACTAAATATTAATAAATACTACTTAATAATAAATAAAACAATATATAACACTCTCTGGATGAAACTATTTCCTTGTATGTAGTTTTTTGTAGTTTTCAAAAACAGATTAATTACTGTTGTCAGGAGCTGAAATGAAACTAAATACATAGTTAATAAATGACTAATATAAATATGGTGCAGACACAGATTACAGTACAATTACTGTGGGAAAAATAAAACATAAAAATAAAAAAACGACAAATTTAACCTCCAATAAACCACTGACACAAAGGCAGCAGCAGGTTTTTTGGTGTTCTTATATCAACAGGCTGCAGTCAGACGCCACGTCTTACCTTCTCCTTCATCCTCTCTGCCGTTCCTCCCTGCGACATGACCATTTTTGAGCGGGTGTCAAACACTACCCCAGATGTATCTGCAAGAGACAGTAAAGAAGGTTTGGTCCGGCCCTCCCATCTTATTTGCCAACCTCCAGGAACAGGTCATTTGCAAAACAAAACCACTCGCAAACCACTTCACAGATTCACCGAGTCAGCGGCCAATCATCTTCCAGCTGCTCTCTTAAAGGGGACATACCGAGATACTAATACTAATGCGCCGAATTAATACGTAATTCCTTGACATGAAGAGTCGAGAATGAACCTGGATGTTCGTCAGCGGTCAGTCATTAACGTCGTTACTTCAACATCACTGCGATAACCACAGTTGTATAACTTCACTGACTGACAAGACAGACAGCCGTCAGTGGCGTTCCTGTACACAAGGAAAACAAACAGTGGATTCCGGCCCAGGTAGGAGCGGTAGTGTGGGTGGAGCTGACCGGTGTGGGGGCGAGGTTTATAATTACTAAGCGCTCATGACGTCACAGAGCCGACCAAATTGGAACGAGTCCTTTCCAGATTGTGGCAGTTTATAAAACGTCTTCTCAGTTATTGAAACTGAATCCTAAGTGGACAGACGCTCCAAAGAGAAAAAAACAGGGACAAAAAAAACAAAACAGCCGTGTTGGTATCTGAGAACTCTGCGGGTTAATCAGGCAGACAACAACAGCAGGACGGAGCCTGATGTGGGGACGGAATCAAAGCTCTGGTGAAAATAAAAAGAGAAAAAAAACCCCAACTCATCACATCTGGGTCTCCGACGTCTGGAGTCTGCATCAGATTCACATGATTCATAACCGTTGGACTCCAAAAAGACATTCTTGTCAGAGAAACGACCTCAGTGCTCCCTACAGCAAAGGCCAAATAAAAACTGGGCCACGGAACAGCTGAGAGTGAAGAGTCGGAGTAAAGTCCAAAGTTAATCCGTGGACATATATAGACAATACGGAGAAAAAAAAAACTACAGTAAAGTTGTTTTTTCTCCACGTGAAAGTAGGTTAATGTTCACGTCCTGGGATTTAACTTTTTTTACATATGTACATTTATCTGGGAAATACCAAAGTCATCCAAGCACCAGCGACAACATGTTCAAAGAGTTCTAACAAGGACAAAAACAGAAGTGAACTCACCCTTCTGGCTGTTTTTCTTTGCCATGATGTCAGGTCGGGGGATCAACACGAACGACTCGGCTTCAAACCTCCTCCAGACGAGGGAAGAAAAAAAAAAAAAAAAGGAGAAACTGCTTGGATTTGTTCAACACCGATTTCAACGGTTGCGTATTTCCTCTTGTAGGTGCCAACGGGCCTCACAACAGGCAGAAGATCGATCCTCTGACACCGAGGACAAGACTCTTCACAGAGTCGATGGAAACCTGTGATGTGGAAGAAATGGGAGAAAGAGAATTCAGCTCCGAAGAGAGAAAAAAAAAAAAAAAAAACTTTTCACTGGCAACAGAATATGAATGAAAAAGCAGCTTCTACCAGCGACCGTCTGGCGGAGCACGGCCAAAAGAAAAAGAAAAAAAAAATCTGCAGTTGATTTGTCTTTTGGCAAAAGTGTCGAATTAGTGAAGAGAGGAAAAAGTTAGTGGGAATTTAGGGCAACATCTCAGAAGGGTATTTCCTTTGTCTTCCCTCTGCAGGGGAGGTGGCTTCTTCGGAGCGCTACTGTGAGTTAGCATACGCTAACCAACCACTGAGAAAGTTCAAACTGAGTGAGTGACGGCCACGTATGTGCTGAATAAGATACGTTAGATTTGGATTTTACATAGTAGATGTAAACGTGTGTGTGTGTGTGTGACAATGACATCGTATGTAAGGTTCTGTAAACCAAACAGAATGGTCGCACTAATAACGCAACACCTTGTTTGTTTTTGGGCGATGAGTCGTATTTACCTTGGCTGTTCTCAAATTAATCTTGCGGCAAATACAATCAGGGAAACAATTTGTTTTACATCAGGTTTGGGAGATCGGAGGAGATTGGAGACGTTCCTGCCGCAACGTCCTCCACCGACACGATGTGTACGTTTAAATGGAGGCGAGAAAAAAGAAAGGAAGGCATAGACCAGCAGCCTAGCTAGCTAACATGTTAACGAGTAATAGATTTGTTCCACGTTCCGGTCAGAAAGAAGAAGAAACATCGGAAGTTTGACGATGATCATCTAAAGTTTTTTGGAATTTTTTGACTTTTTTCATGGTGTTTTAATAGAAGATTGAAATATAAAAAAATGTGTTTATATTCGCAACCTCCTATGTAAGTGCACTTGCTTATGTGTAAATGTATTTGGGTGGGTGGGGTGGAGTTGGGACGAGGGAGGAAGGGTTCCTCTTCTAGGACAGCCCACAACAGTGGGCTTTGACCCCTGGTGGAAGAAATGCAGATTTGTAATTCCTGCTCGAGGTTATCCAGCAAGACAAAATGGGGGGGCAGGGCCCCGTACGAGGGCACTGATCTATGGCAGAGGGGACACGGCAAAAAAATACATTTTAATTTAATATTTTTTTCTTTTCTTTTCTCTGTCCCACAGTGAAGAAATGATTTTTTTTTCTGTTTAATGAGAACCACAGTTTTGCAACAAAATAATTTGGGGCGATTGTTCGCCAATAGCCCAATCCACAAAGCGGAGGGGGGAGGGGGTGAGGGGGGGGACTGGTCCAGGCTCTTTGACTGTTAGTAACTCTGGGGGAGGAAAAGTATTTTCCACCATTGTACAAAAAAAAAGACTAAATAAAGAACGCATTCACGACGCACGGCAGTCAACCCTGTGCTGTGGTGCTGCGACGTGCACATCTGCTTGGATTACGTCCCCTCCAGCCCGAGGACCCAACCAGAGCAGCAGTGGACGGGGTTTTTACGAGCCAGCTGTTTCTCTGTCTTGTGTTTCCTTTCTGCCCGTGCTGCTGTAGAAATGGAAACTTAAAAGCAGTTCAAACCCACGCCCAGCTGATTAGGAGTTTGCATGCCACAGTCCAGGTCCACCACACCTTCACAGACGTCAAGACCCACAGATGAACAGTCAACAAGTGTCACTGTCACATCGTCACGCAAACACGGAGACGCGTCATGTTTGCCAAGAGGGATGGTGCTTGACTTTTTAAAGAGAGCCAAGAAGAGCGCACCAGCTTCAGTCGGCCACTGGGGCGTCCAAGGTGGAGGACCAGAGCAGAGCGGAGTGGAGTGGACCAGGGGGGAGGAAGGGGATAGTGGGAGGTGAGGAGGGGGGTTCTGCAGTTTGTAAAACTTTATCAAAGTTTTCAATGTTTTTTCCAATCACTGCGTAAATCAACACACAGTTGATCATAATGATCATCTGCATAAAAAAAACACAAATACAGTCAAATCAAACAGGGATTATCGCCGCGGCGGCAGGAATGTAGGCATTTCAGCCACTGACTATAAAACCTGAGTGTTATTATTATTATTACTGTTGTTATTATTTAGACTGTATTTGCAGCCTTAGCCTGGGCGAGTTACAGGTTTAAACCGGATTACCTGCCGGGTTTGATGCTTTTGGAAAGGAGGATTACTTGAGTAATGGATACACATATAACAATAATTATACC